TTCCAACAGCAACTTTCTGCGTTCGATATTAATCGAGATATCGCACATTACTGGAAAAAAACACATTGGATCTAGAGTTCAGACTCTTAAAAACATCGACAAGAAAAAGTACTCTTGATTTAATCAGATTTAAGCTTAAATCAAGAACCAAGCCTCTTAATTTGAGCGGATTTCCTTTTGATTTAAGATTAAATTTGCTTGAATCAAGAGCCCTTTTTCTTGTCAATGTTTTCGAGAGTCTGGACTCTAGATACAATGTGTTTTTTTTCCAGTGATTGAAAAACTCGGTTTATGACGGCATCCACCGCGGTAGTGACAACCTCGGTTTCTTCCACCTTCCTTTCATCCTAGTTTCGCGTTGAGTAACCAGTGCAAATGTGTGTTTCCCTGACTGATGAAAGAGAGGTGGAAAAAACCAAGGGTGTCATTACTGCGGCGGATTACGCTCTAAACCGAATTTTTCAAAGCGCGATATCTCTGTCAATATTGAACGTAAAAAGTTGATGTTGGGACAGACCTTAATATTTTCAGCTGATCGACAAAAATCGTGCATCAAATCAGGATTCTGAGACCATCGCAACTGACCCATTCTTTGCAATGGGGAGCGTTGCAATTACGATGATTTAAGCTGTTTTTTTTTCTAAAAAAAGGTCATCCATAGGAAAAACATATCTTCACCTTCCGGCCAAAGTATCACAAGCGCTATGCGATGTTCAAAAATTTCCGCCGCCATTACATTTTTTTAAGGAGAAATTGTTCAACGAAGCTGTCCAAAAATATCACTGATTTTTTTTTGTGTTGTCGTAAAATTCAGTGAAATTTTCGGACAGCTTCGTTGAACAATTTCTCCCTAAAAAAATAAAATGGCGGAGGGGATTTTTAAACGTCGTATGGCGCTTGTGATATTTTGGCCGCAAGGTGACGATATGGTGCAGAATCCCTGCATGCATCACCCAAAGTCACGGATGAGGGGGGAAGGGGCAAGGGCACTTGAGCAAAGCAATGATATGTAACAATTTTGGACTAAATTTTGCAATTCGGAACAACAATTTCTGTAAAAACACTTATTTGCATCGGATACTACGGGCACTCACGTTGTTATACTTCCTGCGTGCATTTAATCTGGTGAAGGGTGAGCAGAGAGCGGTCTGAGTCAACGTTACATAATTTGGACTAAATTTTGCAATTCGGAACTACAATTTTTGACTCATCTGTAAAAGCACTTGTGCGTGCATAGGATATTAATGGTACTTACGTTGTTTCTAAACTGAGCCAGAAATTATAGTTCCTAATTGCAAAATGCGTAGTCCAGTTGTGGGTGGATCTGTCCGACGAGATCTTCTCCTCCGGGAGAAAATTTTTCTTAACTTTTTGCAAACACCTGAACAATATTTTTCTACGCCCTAAGATTTTGGCTTGAAGCTTCACGAAAATTTTTGAGATTTAGGATCTAACTTTCTATTTTAAGGAATTTGTTGACTGAATGATAAGGTTTCTTCTTATAGATCTAGTCACATTTTTCTGTGAAAAGGCCCCGGTACATTGTTATGGAGGGTTAATTATACATGAGTAATATGTTTCCCTCCGCTTCAATAGCCTCAAGACTCATTTAACCCTCATCTATCAAATGGATTGCATTTTGCAGAAAGGAACGACTAGCATTGCACCGCTGCTAAGATTGTGTAACTTTTTTTGTCTTGGAGGAAAAACCCGATTATCCCTTCATAGTTTCTATTTTACTCGCTAAAAACTGTAAATTTAAGACAAAAATTACCATCTAAAATTCATAGTTTTTCACAATTTCCGCAATTTTATTGCAAAGGATGAAGTTACACAATCTTAGCATCATTGCAATGCTAGTGGTTCCTTTTTGCAAAATGCAATCCAAATAAAGGTCGATCTGACCAGACGCTTGATAAAAATATATAACTCGTCACCTTCCACACGAAGGAACGTAACTTCATTTGCTATGGTCGCTAAATTGACTCAAATAATTAATTTATTTTACAAAGTTGTGCATGTGCAATTTGTATCGATTTTCCTTATTTTTGCATGAAATCTAAGGGAAAATCAAAGAAATTTTTAGAAAAGTCCAAGATTCTCCTAGCCAATGTGCAATTTGAGAGGGGATATTTGGCAACATTGACATGCAGTTACGTTCTTTCTTGCGGGAAACGACGAAATCTCTTAATTTTAGTTTTAGTGTGCTTCGGCAAGTGAATCACAAAAACTTTCATTATTGCTTTACATTGCTTGTTTTTTTTTTGCAAAAATAAAAAAAAATCCACCTGAGGTAACTGTTTTTACGACTAATATTAATAATCCGAAAAGTGAGAATAGAGAGAGAAGATAAGAGTAAGAAGAGAAAGAGGAACAGGAAGAAAAGAGAGCAGAAAATAGAGAAGAAAAGTGAGAAGAAAAGTGAGATGAAAAGTGAGATGAAAAGTGAGATGAAAAGTGAGATGAAAAGTGAGATGAAAAGTGAGATGAAAAGTGAGATGAAAAGTGAGATGAAAAGTGAGATGAAAAGTGAGATAAGTGAGATAAGTGAGAGCAGAAAATAGAGAAGAAAAGTGAGAAGAAAAGTGAGATGAAAAGTGAGATGAAAAGTGAGATGAAAAGTGAGATGAAAAGTGAGATGAAAAGTGAGATGAAAAGTGAGATGAAAAGTGAGATGAAAAGTGAGATGAAAAGTAAGATGAAAAGTAAGATGAAAAGTAATATGAAAAGTAATATGAAAAGTAAGATGAAAAGTAAGATGAAAAGTGAGATGAAAAGAGAGATGAAAAGTGAGATGAAAAAAAGTGAGATGAAAAGTGAGAAAGAAAGTGAGACACAAAAGTGAGAAAGAAAGTGAGAAAAGAGAGAGAAGGGTCTGGTGCCGGAGCCTCCTCGTGGTGGACCTGGGGCGGGTCTCTGACTCGTGCCAAACGCCGGCAAACCTGTTGTGATTCTGCACCCTCCCTCGCCTCTGGTTGTTAGCCCACATCTCTTCACACATCGTAACGAGCTATGTAGGATCAAGCGCATCCTTGGTACGTTATTACCTTGGTTGTTAGCCCATATCCCTAATACGCTCGGGCATGGATCAACCACTTCCTCGGTGCCCTGCTTCGCGCGCAGCAGGGCTGTTTACACCTTGGATGTTAGGCCATATCCATTGCAGCCTTGGATCAAGCGGAACCTTGGTACGTTATTACCTTGGTTGTTAGCCCATATCCCTGGCTTACGGAAGAGATCAAGCGGAACCTTAGGAACATGAGGGGAACGATGATCTTCAGAGGACCACTGATAGTAGTTAGGCCATATCCTTGAACCGCGAGGTGCAAGGATCAACCGGTACACAGTGGTCTGAAAATCCCGATCTGTGACCGACTTTGCGCGATTCGCCAGTGACCAATTGCAGGGGTGACCGATCGAAGCCTGGCAATCCTGTACTGGTCAACCTCCGGTATCTGCCGATGCTTGCGCATTAAGTCTAAAGCCGTCATCCCCCCCGGGACACTTTAGACCAGGCAAAGTCGGAACCGGAGGGTCGGACGCCTCTCAAACGGGCTGGTGGTTGGGGCGATGTTGCAGATTGAAGTAGGTTTTGATGCAGGACGAGCCGAATACTTCACGAGAGTCCCGGGGTCTCGTGGCTCAGGGTATTCTGTTCTCCTGGGCCGAACAAGCCGGACAAAGTTTCAGCAATCTCTATCTCTGTAGAGAGTATCCAGCTACGAGTTTGTTGTCTCACTGCTGGATCGCACGGTGGTAGAGGAGTTCCCTGCATTCGGTCATTGGCGAATTGTTCACTGTTGTGAGTGAGGGTGCGCCCAGAACGCCAACCCAACTCTTCATGGCATGAGATCTTTAATAATTATTAAATTTTAAAACAATTTTAAAAATAAGGTTACCCTTATTAAATCTCACTAACAACAAAGGCATGAGCCCCATGCCTTTGTCTTTTAAATTTCGTCTCCATTTTTCAAAATTTCTTCTCCATTTTTTCAAAATTTCTTCAAAATTTTGAATTTCAAATTAACGTATGCCATGGGAGTTGTAAGTTGGACGGTGGAAGCGTGCCGTCTGATGTCGGTTCCTCCTCGTGGTGGACGGTGGAAACGAGGGTTTTACCCTCGGCTAAACGCCGACAAACTATTTGCTAATGTAGCACTAGCAACTTATTCATACTTTAACTTACCTACTTGGAAATGGAGATTCACGGATGTATGTAGGAGGTTACTGATTTTCATACATCGTTCATCGTGAATTGGCTTAAATGTGTTGGCCAGTATCAGAAGATGCTAAAATTACTAAATCTAGCAAGTTTAAACTACCATCAATTTGTTTAAGTACCTACTAGAGTTTTTTTACTACTTTAATTGAGATGACAAGTAGCTGAAATCATGGAACTAATAGATGTGACATATAGCATGTTGTCCTGACATAAAAAACGGCGCATAGTGGATCGAGTCAGAGAGGTCTGACATGAAATTTTTGACTAAAGCTGCAAATTATGATGTTTATTTCGTCACATTTTTCCCAAGGACTACCTTTGGTAGCAAATTTTACGAGAAAACCCATGGAGCCACTTTCAGAACCTTAAAGAATTGTATAAACGGAGTTTATAAGCGTTTAAAGTCTCCAAATTTTGTCCGACCTCTCCTATTGATTTGATCCACTGTGGAAACCAATGGAACCACTTTCAGAACCCTAAAGTTTTGTATAAACGGAATTATAAGCGTTTAAAGTCTCCAAATTTTGTCCGACCTCTCCTATTGATTTGATCCACTGTGGAAACCAATGGAACCACTTTCAGATAACCTTAAAGTTTTGTATAAACGGAGTTATAAGCGTTTAAAGTCTCCAAATTTTGTCCGACCTCTTCTGTTGATTTGATCCAATATGCGGCGTCGATCTAATCGCCTTGTCGAGTATGTAAGACAATTTTTAAAAAACTGATTTCTCCTGGTTTGATTTTGACGTGTTTCAATGGATGATTGAGCTATACTCACGGGGTGCTCCAGTCAAAATATCCTGGGTGTTGGTGCTCCACTCTGTGACCTCCGGTGTGTTGGTGGAGATCTCGCCTGAGGCAGCGAACTCCTCCCCGGAGCCTCCTTTCGAGAAATCTTCGTCGTCCGAGTTCGAATTTGGATCTGGTGAATCCGAAAACGGGAATCCAGCGTCTTCGCTTTGGTCTGTCGGGGTATACCTCGCAACTCTCGTACTGGAAATTGAACACACTTTTATTCAACAAACAGTGAAGTTGATTCAATTTTTCTATTGCAGACGATAAAATCAGAGACGATTTTATCGAAAGTCATACATCGGTGGGTTTCAATTGTTCAGGGGCTCTGTGGCAAATAGATGGTACGTTTTTATTTTGCTCTTGGGGGACCGAAGAAAAGTAAAACCAAGCGCATGACTCCATCTACGTCTCTTTTAACAATTTCAAAATGAAATTCGGGGGCTTGGAGGACTCGGCGCATAAGAGCAGTTTTTGAAAAAATTGAGATATTAATTGTGTCAAGTAAAACTAGGCTTAATGCATATTCCGTGAAAAATTCGCTACCAAATTCCAGGTTGAAGTATCAAACAGTCAGTTTGAACTTTCTTTTCGCCATAAGGATCAATGTAATTTCGAAACTTCAGTTTTTGAAAAAATTGAGATATTAATTGTGTCAAGTAAAACTAGGCTTAATGCATATTCTGTGAAAAATTCGCTCCCAAATTTCAAGTTTTAAGCATCAAACAGTCAGTTTGAACTTTCTTTTCGCCATAAGGATCAATGTAATTTCGAAACTTCAGTTTTTGAAAAAATCGAGATGTTCATTATTTCAAGTAAAACTAGGCTTATTGCATATTCTGTGAAAAATTCGCTCCCAAATTCCAAGTTTTAAGTATCAAACAGTCAGTTTGAACTTTCTTTTCGCCATAAGGATCAATGTAATTTCGAAACTTCAGTTTTTAAAAAAATCGAGATGTTCATTATTTCAAGTAAAACTAGGCTTATTGCATATTCTGTGAAAAATTCGCTCCCAAATTCCAAGTTTTAAGTATCGAACAGTCAGTCTGAACTTCCTTTCAGTCATAAGAATCCATGTTATATCGAAACTTCATACACTTATTTCTCGAATTAACAAACATTGCACTTATGCGCCTTGTCTACCAAGCCCCTCAATAATTACACTTTAAGCCATGTATTCATCTAGCATTCCCTCAAGTAGCTCCTTTCTTTAGTAGGCTCCATATCGATGACCAACGTGCGAGACCATTCATCTCCGTCTGCAACGTTGCATACTTCCTCGCATACTTTATTTTTTCATTGAAAAACTAGTCAATTTAATTCATCGAGAACTTCCTTAATTTTACTTCTTTATTGGCAGAATATTCCGTGGAAATTTCAATTTATATGGTTGACTCGTTTCTCTTCGAAAAAATAATTTAGTACTGGAGATTTGGAAACACCGCAATGGAGTTACGTGGTTTTGAACTTTAGCCATCGATATGACTTTACAGAGGCTCAGAGCAGTTTGAAGAGATCCTTGGCATAACATTTTAGAGAGACAATTTGAATTTGAACACATCTCAGATAAAATTCATCAGCATAGCTTCGAAAATAGACTTTTGATACTTGCCAGGCAGTGCAAGACGATCGTCTTCTTCTGCTTAAAAATATTAATACAAACGAAAATTGTGCAGCTTTCGAAAATTTTACGGTAGGTTTGCACCTACCTACCTTAAAATTTGGCAAAATCGTTGAATTTTACCCTCCATACTTTTGATTGTTAAAAAGTGATATTATTGATACAACTGTTAGTAATATATGTATAATATTGTTCAATAATGATAGTTGCGCCTAAGTGCCTTTTGTAATACTTAAACCTCCCCGTCACCTTAATTTGTAGTTTAATTTTCGATACGAAATATTTAAGAAAGCTTATTTTTCAGTCTCTTTTCTACAATATTCACAAATGTAAATTTTAATTTACTTCTTATTTTACAAGGTTTTTTGCGCCCAAGTGGCTTACGTAATACTTAAACGATTGCGGTCTCTGAATTTCTAATTTAATTTTCGATATGAAATATTTAATGAAGCTTATTTTTCAGTCTCTTTTCTAAAATATTCACACATGTAAATTTTAATTTACTTCTTTCTACAAGGGTTTTTGCGCCCAAGTGGCTAACGTAATACTTAAACGACTCCGGCCCTGAATTTGTAATTTAATTTTCGATATGAAATATTTAATAAAGCTTATTTTTCAGCCTCTTCTCCATACAACACTCACAAATGTATATTTTAATTCATTTCTTTTTACAAGGTTTTCCCCCATAAATAATTTCGATTATCTTACCTCGGTAACGGGGATACTTCGCCTAAGGAAAGGAGGAGAGAACTATCGACAGTTGAGTTAAAGAGGGTAGCGGGGGTTTCGGAACTTAGACTAGCTGTTGAAAGGCTCGTAGGGTTTGCGGATGTCACCTCCACCGTCGTCGATGCCTCACTCTCTTTCGACTTTTCTACATCTGGGGGAGCCAAAAAATCCCAAAAGCCCCTTTTGACTCGGTTTATATGATGGGCAACGGTAGAAAAAATTGATTGGCTAGATTCGTCACTTATACTATCTAAACTAGGAACACTGTCTAATTTGTTACTATTTATTTCGGCTATCGGAACACTTATTGATTTGGTATCTGAATTATTGTTGTAAGTCCTTCCCGAGAGGTCGTCAAATATTAGATCTGCATTGTCCTGAAACATATAAGAAAAAAACAAAAAAATGTTAGTCACCAGTATTCTACAAATAGTTATGAAAAAGTTTCATCTTTATCTATAATATGAACGTATTTCTACTAAACGGAACCAGATATACAGGTTGAAAAGAAGGGGCGTGCTCATTAGTTCTCGGGTCGTAAGAGTGAATGGGAATTATAAAGCGCCAGTGACGTCAGCGGTGACGACGGGGACGATGGTCCAAGTGATTCGAGTCTTTAACTCATGAGCCCTGTCCATAACGCTCTTGTCACATGCTCACGGCTCATGAGTTAGCACATAATTGGACCAAGTTCATTAGAAAGGAACCAACCCACATTTCCAAAAAAAATGAGCTAAGAATGTTTTTGAGTTTCACTAGTTGTTTATTTCCTCCTGCAAAAATCTAAAGTCGAAAAAAAGAAACAAGTTTGTGAGAATAGGGGTGGAAGTTTATTTTCTACATTGAGCCTTTTGTAGGAATAACATTTCAAAACTCTTTTTCTTAGTTTCAAATTAATGTGGGTTAGTTCTTTTCTGATGAACTCCGTCCAATTGACACTTGGTTCCGTTTGATTATAATCCCGCTTTTCCATTTTTCCAAAAGGAATCACGCCCACTTTTACATTGTTTCTTATGCAGCTTACCACGAGTGGCGTGGCGTGAAGGATCGATTATCGATATATCGCCATTTGAAGCTATAGTGAAGAATCGATTACTAAGGTGTTCGCTGCGAACGCCCTGATAATCGATCTTTTACCATAGGTTTAAATGGCATAACAATCGATATATCGCAATTCACGCCACGCCACTGGAGCATACTCCATATTTCCCACGTCTCCTGTTTCGTTTAGCAGAAATGCGTCCATATGAAATCATACGAGTCTCGTGTAACGCAACGGCTATGAGACGCGAAGCCGTTCAAGGGGTTAGACCGTGAAGCGGTCAGGGGCTGTAGCCCCTGGGTTAAAGAAAGATGAGATAACATTCGTGAAGTACGTATTTAAGCGAAAGCGGCTCTGACTCCAGCGAACGCTGCGCTGCACTCTCGCTAGCTCGTTCAGTGACTGCCCGCATCGAAAACGCCTTCATTTAAAAGATACCAGCAACTTATTAAACTTCGAAATAACCGCTGGTTGCATACACGCTTATTTGAAGGCGTTTTGATACCCAAGCACGATGTTCTACGCTGGATCGTGGGAACTGTATTTGCCCATTTGTTTTGTTACCAGTTTTTATTGACTGGGGCGTCAGAGAATTCTGAACAAATCTTTTGAATAAGATGTGAATTTTTAGAATCCAGTCAACGGCAAGACGCGATAGTTATGATCAATTTGACAATGTCCTCCCTGTATTACAGGTTGGGAGAAATTTTCCCTTTAAATTCGCTGGTAAATGCCACATTATACTGCTGTGCTAAGGAAAAACGCTGAATGGCCATTGGAGAGTTGCCAAATTTCCTCCGATAAAATGTGTATTTTTGAGGAAAGTTACGAAAACTTTTCCTTGAAATTCTCAGGAACTTAAGTTGAGTTTGCGAACACAATTTTCTTTGAAGTTGGGAGGAAAATATTCATTGTTTACCAAGGAATTCAGTTTTTACAAAAGAAAATTTGGCAACGCCTAAAGGTTCATACGGCGTTTTTCATTATCACGGCAGTATAAAAGACGGCTGGTCGCGTCTAGAATGAGTTATGAAATTAGAACCCAGAATTATCTAATATGACATATTTTGACTTTCAAGAGCACATTTTTGCTATCAACGTTCTTTTACGCAACATTTTTGAGGAATCATGTGTCGCTCAGCGGTAAATTTCTGACCTTGTCTGGAACAGTGGTCCATTCCTCAGTTTGAATGAAGTTTCTATTTTCTTTTTCAATCAAAAGTACCATTCAAAAATTAAGTATTGAAGATCGGAGTGATAGATTTCCTCTTGTTCTTGCTTGTCAACCTTGCGCGCAATCACCAGACTAGCGATGGGCAAGAAAAGGACAGTCCGGGGGCGCTNGGGGGGGGGGGGGGGGGGGGGTTCTCGTGCCGTCTCGTTTAAATCGTATCAATCTTGATGAGACGATGCATCTGTCTCTGTTCTTCAGTCTTCTGTCTTCACACACCCTTTGACGCTCCCGGCTCCCCTCAGAGCCGCCTGACATGGCCTGTGAATTGTAGTTGCTCTCCGTATCCAAATTCAACGGGCTCGAGACCAATGAGTCACAAGTTAGGTGAAGTACCCCGTACGATCATTTGTTTTCTTTTCTTTCCGATTTTTTTATCTTAATATTAGACGTCTATTGAACACATTATTTTGAGGTTTCAATTAAGTGTGTGGAAAAGAATATAAATATTGCATTGTGTTGTTAATTGTTAAATCTATGGAAGTTATGGAGTTAAGTCCGTCGCGGAAAACTCTTTCTATACCTGTGACTCTTAAATTATATTAATTTTTTCTAAAATGAAATCGAATAAAGAAATAAAAAAGACAACTTTGAGAAAATTATTAGTCCTGTTTTTTACGTTCATGGTGGGGCATGTGAAATTTTTGGTAAGAGAAGAGTAACTGCAAGTATAGCACAGTTCCGGGCAAATCTGCTGTGCTAGGGAAAAACACCGTATGAACAATCTAGAGTTGCCAAATTTCCTTTAATAAAATGTCTTTTTTTGCGGGAAGTTATGCATATTTTTCCTTAAAATTTCCTGATGTTTCAGCCTAAATTGTGAACAAAATTGCTTTAAAAATGGAACAATATCATTTAAAAGTTTTCCAATTAATTTTTTTACTGAAGGCAGTATGGCAACGCCTGAAGGCTCATACGGCGTTCTTACCTAGGACAGCAGAAATGTATGAGGTCTCAAGCTAGTGGGGGCGTAGCTATGTAAGGCCGAGAGAACCATCAGTCCTGGATTAAAATCGTTTATATTTCAATTAAAAGGTCCGTGGGGTCCTCGGCCGAAGGAACACAAAAAGGGAGTAAAGTTTGACCTGGATCGACAGCGGTTCAGAGAGGGATTCAGGTTGGTAACAGAGAATTCTCTGTTGCCAAACCATGTTCGCACTTAGGTAACTCATTAGGAAATCCAATTCAAAACAAAAATCTTGGAATATTTTTCATGTAACTTTTTTTTTTTGCAGTGATAATTATTCCAATCACTTGCAAGGATCCATTTTTAAAATGATACCCTTGAATTTTATCGGAGATGTGCAAAAATTCGTCATTCTTCTCAATAGACCGTAGACCAAAGACCGTAACTCCATTTCAATGTTTCCAAATTTCCCCGCACATATTGTATTTTTACCGGGAGAATCCGGCATTTTGACTGCAAATTTTACTGATTTTTCCTTTGATCTCATGCATTGATCGGATAACTTTTGGACGAAAATTGCACGGATACATTCTTATAAAAAATGAAATTCTTTGAATCAAGTTTGCAACCTAGGAATTTAGTTACGTTCCTTTATCCGGGGCACGACGATTCCGTCACCTTCCGGCCAAAGTATCACAAGCCCCATGCGACGTTTTAAAATTTCCGTCGCCATCTCATTTTCTTACAGAGAAAGTGTTGGTTGAATCTCTTTGAAAATTTCACTTAATTTTATCGGCTGCACAAAGAAAATTCAGTGAAATTTTCGGACAGCTTCGTTGAACATTTTCTCGGTAAAAAGATAGAATGGCGGCGGAAATTTTGAAACGGCGCTTGTGATACTTTGGCCTGAAGGTGACGATTTGTCGTTTTTAGGAAGCTATGTTGGAGGCTCTTTTAAAGACAATGTGAACCATACGGGGCTTTCTGAGGAAAGGAGCTGCTCAAGAAACGACTAAGAATACGGCCCCAAGTCCGAACTTGAGTTTTTCCGTCAAGTTGGCGGAGATAAAAGAAGAGCATAAGAAATCCCGCCGCTAAAGACGTGGCCGTTAGCCGGGATGTCATGTTCCGCGGCTCCGGGAGTCATGTTCGACAACATTCATCACAAATTAAATCCTCGAGGATGAGACGAAGTTTACGAGGTCTCCGTATTAATAGGTTAAACGGGAGCCGGGAAGGAGCAATAATTGTACGAAAATAGACGATTCCGGAGCAATTTCTGAGCCATAAGACGGACAATCTTCTCCCGCGAGCGTGTCAAGATTCACCGAGATGAGGGGTGGTCGTGGAGTGCGGCGGCTCGGGGTTCGGGGTGGGGGCTGGGGGTGTATTTCGAAAAAAGGAAACAAACTCCTTAATGTTCCGACCCGCATTGTCACGTCGACGCTCCAATAACGCCGTTTCGCACCCCGTTGCGTCCCGTCGGGCCGCGTGCCCGGAAAACTGATTACACCACCGTTTATACCGGACAACTACTTCGATAACCTCCGTCTAGCTAATATTAAAAAACCCTTATTTTGGTTGCGCTGGAAAAAAAAACACATTGGATCTAGAGTCCAGACTCTTAAAAACACCGACAAGAAAAAGTACTCTTGATTCAATTAGAATCTAGCTTAAATCAAGAACCAAGCCTCTTAATTTAAACGGATTTCGTTTTGATTCAAGTAAAAATACGATTGAATCAAGAGTATTTTTTCTTGTCAATGATTTCAAGAGTCTGGACTCGAGATCCAATGTGTGTTTTTTTTTTTTTTTTTTTTTTTTTTTTTTTTTTTTTTTTTTTCCCAGTGTGCACACTGGGAAACCCATGGGTTTATTCGATCTTCACACGGAAAAAAACTCCGGCCGTGGAAGCCACACTTACGGGCTGTATGTATAGACATACCGTCCGCGTTCCGGGCTCAGAGACCGAAAGTTCCGGGCGTAGCACCCGGAGCAATCAAAGCTACGGCTTCAGCACGCGGAACTTTCGTCCTCTGAGCCCGGAACGGACGGTTTGTCTGTATTGCCCGTAACTATTTTTTTTTAGTGTTTGGACAGAGTTCAACAGAATTGCAACGAGGCGCACTTTAATTGGAAAAAAAAATGTGCCGGAAGTTGTTTCATGGTCAACTCACGAAAAAAAAAGATGTACAGA